ATGGGACACGCTTCGGGTGCGCTGTTCAGGGAGGAAGGGGCGCTGAGCTTCGGGCCACACACTGGCTGATGCGAGGAAAGGAGAGGGGGGGGCCTGGGGCCCCTGGATTTTCTAGCTTGGCAAACTGAAAAAGTGAAAAACGGTCCTCAAGTGGGGAAGGATCTAAGGTCCCCCTGTGAAAGAGAACTTCCACTATTTTGTCTGTTTTTACACTAGAAAGGACTTTGTGAATATCTTTTGTTTTTATAATTACCTGTCTGGGGGAGGGTTGGGTACAATTTCTGTGCCTTGGGATAGTCTTTCCCAGGTGGTGTCTGACCTGGGATTTTGATTTTCTATCTGCTCACTGTTGTTTTATTTATAATGTCCAAAGTTGCCCTCTCTAAACTGATCCCTTGAAGTTGTAATGGAATGTCATGACAGTGCATGTGTCATTTTACGACTTTTGTGCTTCGCTGACATGATTGACAATCATGCTGAGGATAATAGGGTGTGCCCCCCTATACTTAATAGAATTCTTTTTTTAAATTCATGTCAGAAATTACATGTCTGGTTACCAATACTATATTACTATTACAGAGCTCTTCCCTCTCAATCATGACACTAAATGATTAAAATGTGCTTGGCTAAGGCTTTTGTTGCTTTAACAAACTAGGACCAGTGAGCAATAAAACAGAAATACTTTAAAAAATGTGTGTGTGTGTGCGTGTGTGTGTGTGCGTGTGTGAGAAAGAGAGAGAGAGAGAGAGAGAGAGAGAGAGAGAGAGAGAGAGAGATTAAAAAGGTAGGAAAAAAAAAGAAGCCAAGCCTTGGATCAGCAGATTTCTGGTCATAGAAGGATAGAGTGTCAGCTGAAAAGGACCTTAGATTCCTGCTAGTTCCAAAATTTTATTTATTATTTTAAAAAACATTAAAAAAATTCTCACCTGAGGATATTTTGTATTGATTCTACAGAGAGGGAGAGGGAGGAAGGGAGGGAGGGAGGGAGGGAGGAGGGAGGGAGAGAGAGAGAGAGAGAGAGAGAGAGAGAGAGAGAGAGAGAGAGAGGTATTGATTGGTTGCCTGCCTCTCAAATGCGCAAAGGTGGAAACCTTGGTTTGTGCCCTGACCAGGAATTGAGCGGTGACCTTTTGGTGTATGGAAGGGTGCTCTAACCAACTGAGCCACACCAGCCAGTACTCAAACTTTTTCCTTCTTTCTTTGTTTTTTTTTTCTTTTAAATTCTTTATTGTTGAAAGTATTACATGAGTCTCCTTTTCCCCCCATTGACCTTTCCCTGGCCTCTCCCACCCCCAGCACATGCCCCCAACCTCCTATTGTCTGTGTCCATGGGTTATGCTTATATGCATGCATACAAGACCTTTGGTTGATCTCTTACACCCCCCATCCCCCCGAAAAACCAAGGCCCAGCAGGGTTTGGTGACTTGATTAATTCACATTGCTGCTTGTGCTGGGAAGCCAGATATGGTGATTTCTTTCTCTTATCTATGTGACTCAGCAAGCAAATGCACACACCTTATAGGGTAAAATATAGTCCATTAAAATGAGCCCCTATTGCTAATATCTAACAGCATTGCATTGAACTGACCCTCAGGCCAGGATCATCCAACAGAGATGCTGCCACCTCTTAGAAGAGTCTAGCCAGGGGGGTTGAGGGTGGATGGGACTTGAGAAGTGCTGGCTCACCCTGCCATCATGTAGTAGGCGTTCATTGTATATTTCCCTGGCATGTAGTAGGCGTTCACTGCATATTTGCTACTAAAATTTGGAGGAAAAATGTGTTTATGGCTGGGAACAAGCCGTTAGAGCTGGATCAATGACCATCCTCCTACCCCATCAGCTCCTCTCTGCAGACTGTCAAAGAGAAACCTCCTAGTTCAAAATGCCTTCCTCCTGGCTCTTCTCCATCCATCCTTACACAGCCTATCACATCGAGAAGAGATGGCAGACTGCCAACGGCTACAGTGCCTAGGAGATAGTGAACCCATTCATTCCCCATTGCTGGCTTTTCATTGACTTTTGAGAAGGAGGCTAAGTAGGTATTGGGGCTCAAGGGAAATTCACATGCCCTTTTAATTTCATCAATACTAGTTAGTGGCTTTAAAAAGAAATTTCAAATAATGACGATTATGTGCTGAGTACCTATATACCAGTCATCGTATGAGCACTTTGGATGCACTGTTCTCTTAATCCTCATAACAATCTTATGAGTTAGATATTATATCATCATCCTCATCTCCTCTATTTTAGAGATGAGACTAACCAGGCTTAGAAGGATCATGCAGCCTGCTCAAGATGCCACAATTGATGAAGTACCAGAACCGGCATTCATCTCAGGCCGGTGTGAAATAGCCCTCAAGCCCTGTTGAATACTGCTTCCATTCCACAGCCATGTCCTCCGTTTTCTGCTTCTCTCTCGGGATAGCTGGTCTCGGGGACCAGTGCTACTCTACTATTTTATTTTATTTTTATATTTATTTATTTATTTATTTATTTACAGAACTACATATTTTATAACTATGTAGTCCTGCAATTGCAAACTCATTAATTGGAAGACTAGATTTTTTAAAAAACAATATTCATCGTGTCTCTAAAAGGTTGTTTTTTAAAAATATCATCTGAAAGAAAAAATTCCATATCTATTCTTGATACATACTAGGTGTGAGGGATACCTCTGGACCTTTTTGACTCCAGCATCCTGTCTAGCCAGCCTTCTCCTTTCCCAGCTTACAAAGCATTTTCTATCAGACATTATCTCTATTTTACAAACACGGCTGCTGCTCAGAAGTGCTCCACACCTTTGTTTCCTGGAAGAGGAAATGGCATTTCCTGGAGCAGACTGCTTGTGGGTGGTGAGGTTCCATATTACGTTAAACACACCGCACTTTCATTCGTGTGCTTCTTGCCTCCTTCAGTGTCTGCCCGAATTTCCTGGAATCGTGCTGAACACAGACCAGAGGGCAGCTGTGCCAGTTCACTGCAGCCGGGAAGACATGGTTCCTGCTTTGGATCCAGAGCTAAGGGGTAAGGGACTCCCAGGAATCTGGTCCCTGGAGATACCACAATCCATCTTCCTTCAACTTGGGATTTGCAGAAGGAAGCCTCAGACATCACGTGGCCATCATTTTAGACCTAATTGACGTTTATGCCCTGGCTCCCAAAGAGACCATGTGGCTCTTGCACCCGTCTGTGGATTGACTTTTTATGAAGGATTTAGGATAGAAATTAAAAAGAAAATGTCCTTATTATGAACCTCAATTTGGAGAAAGATGATACTTGGGGAGAAGTAGGATATGACAAACAGATCATTTAAGCACTGGATTGTATAATAAGGACACTTCTCTCTCTGCAGAAGTCACCACTCCGAGGGAATCAGATTGGACTATTTCATGAGGAGTTTGGCTCCCTGGCTGACCACTTTTCCAAAGCCCAGGCAGAAATTGTTTTTACATGGGCCACCTGAAGCCTCGGAAGAATCAGCATGGCATTAGAAGACAGCGATCTACCTTAACCAGACACTCGAGAAACATGTGGAGTCTAGGGTAAAATGGTTCAGAAATTGTCAAAATTATTCTAGAAGCTATGGTTAAAAGTGACAGAGGTGCAGACAAAACACAGGTATTTTAAGTTCACAGCTTGGATAAGGGAAAAGGAGTTTTTGTTTTTTTCCTCTTCAATCCAGTTTAGGCTTTCAAGTGGGAAAAAAGGCTAATTAAAAGTTAGAAATTGTTAATGCCAGCAGATAGCTCTAAACCTGAAGCAAAAATTGGCCCTCCCTTGGGGAGTAAATAAACCTGTATTATTATTAATAATGAGGTATCAACTCTTCCAGGCCATGAGGGGGAATGGTAAAAGGTGAATGCAAATCTCACTCTGAGGTGAAAAAGAAAAATGTTCATAATATGATACTTTTGAAAGTTCCATTGTTATACATGCTTAGTAATATTAAGCTAATTTAAAAATCTTAGGCAAGGTAAGGGAGGTAGATACTCTATTTTCATTTAAGAAAGAGATAATGAGTGAACCTGATACTAATATTTATTGTGTGTTTAGGACGTGTATCAGGGCATAGTGTTAAACAGTTAACTTTGATTATCTCATTTGATTCTTAAACAAATCCCTTGAGATGGGTAATATCCTCTTCATTTTATAGATGTACTAGCTGAGTCTAGAGGTCAAACAAATGACTTCACCAGGCTCACAGAGCCAGTAAGTGATGGACTTCAGTCTGTTGACTCCCAGATCTGTGACTTTTGTCATCATACACACAGAAAATGATAAGAGCTGAAACTATAGCCTGACGCTTGAAACAGTAAAAGAATTTTGTGTTTGTCAATGTCCTGATTAATAAAGTATTCTAAGAAGAGTTAACACATGTTTAGAAAGCCAATTTGTGAAGTATAATGTATCAAAATGTCCATTTTCTAATACAACCATAGAATATAAAACAAAATTTAATCTTTAATGATGCTGAACATATAGAGCTTATTTTTTCCTGAGTATCACTTATTATTACATTATTAAAGACTCAAACTGAGCATGAAAATCTTACTTTTATTATTTTTTAAAAGGAATTATAAAAACACAGTATTGTTACTTTCTGGCTTCTGCCATCCTAAAGGTGTTGATTATTTTTTAAGTCATGGCTAGCAATTAAAGAGATACTAATTAAAACATACCTATCTGAATCAGATAGTGAATAACATTTTCAGTGTTGTTTTAACATAGATACAAGTTAACATAAACATGTGGTATGTTTGTAAGTTTTAAGGGTAGATAAAAT